TCTTTTCAAAGCACTACAAAGGAAAGACGTGTTTTAATATACGCTGGCATAGTAGGGCATCTATATGTAAATGTATGTTGCCTTGTTCATATGTGTAATTTATGGTTCCCTTTTATTCTTGAGACAGCAGATGTGCACACACCTGTAGTTCGGACTGAATTATGAAGGAGGTTTTGTATAAGGAATGCCTTTCATATTTCATAAGTAAACCAACTTCAAAAGACAACGTCAAACTGATAAAACACAGACACGGTCAAGAGAATCAATCTTCAGTGAATGCAGCTAAAATGAAACAAAATAGTGTGCCAATATTTTTATTACATGTCTAGTCTGAACTAGTATTATATCATATGTCAGTTAGCAAGGTTGGACCTTATATTAAAGCTCCACAGGGTAACTTTTTAGCCAACAATAAACCCAAAATAAAAGCTTTTTATTTTTTCATTTATTTCTCTGAAATATACAGATAAACATGACTCTTATTTGGCCTAGAGGAGAGAGTCATCCTTTTTGTCTCCATTGAAATGTTTTTCCTTCAGCTGTAATAGCAGCACCAGGAAAAGGGACATTTGGGCTGATTGACAAACTGATCCGTAAAGCTGGTCATGTGATCGGCTATGAGCTGGAGACATTTGTCACAGTGAGGGACACGAGGACACTGGACAAACTGCTCTCCATCATGGACACTCCTGCTCACCCACTGCACCAGACTATAGAGGGACAGGAGATAATACTCCCTACAACTGTACAACAACTCACTCACTGCACCAGACTGTAGAAGGACAGATAACACCCCCTAAACTGTACAATGACTCACCCACTGCACTAGACTCTAGAGGAACAGATAATACTCCCTACAACTGTGCAACAGATAATACTCCCTACAACTGTACAACTCACCCATTGCACCAGCCTACAGAGGGGTAAATAATACTCCCTACAACTGTACAACAAATCACCCTTATGTAACAGATAATACTCCTTACAACTGTACAACTCACCCACTGCACCAGACTACAGAGGGGCAAATAATACTCCCTACAACTGTGCAACAACTCACCTATATATAACAGATACTCCTTACAACTGTCATCTTTATGTAACAGATCAATCATCATATCATTGTTGCATCTTCCTATGACCTCTTGTATAAAGCTGTGATTTTATATTTTATTACTTATCTTTCTATATTATTTTTTACTTGTACATTTACATTTATATAATCATGTCTTATTTGACATCTGTCTTTTGCTCTTTTTTGCTATTTATTTAGAATTTATTATTACCATTAATATTTTCACTCTTTTTTATTATATTATATTGTGATGTGTGAGCTACTGTGTCCAAATCATTCCCTTGTGGATAAACAAAGTTTGTCTAAGTCTAAGTCTAATAGTCCACAGAATGGCATAAAATATAACTATACCATAGAAAATATTCATCCATCCATCCATCCATTTTCGTCCGCTTATCTGGGGCCGGGTCGCGGGGGCAGCAGCCTAAGCAGGGACTCCCAGACTTCCTTCACCCCAGACACATCCTCCAGCTCCTCCGGGGACATGCCCAGAACACCTCCCGAGGGAGGCGCCCAGGAGGCATCCGGAACAGATGCCCGAGCCACCTCAACTGGCTCCTCTCGACGTGGAGGAGCAGCGGCTCTACTCCACGCTCCTCCCGTGTGACTGAGCTCCTCACCTTATCTCTAAGGGAGCGCCCAGCCACCCTGCGGAGGAAACCCATTTCAAACGCTTGTATCCGCGATCTCGTCCTTTCGGTCACTACCCAGAGCTCATGACCATAGGTGAGAGTAGGAACGAAGACTGACCGGTAAATCGAGAGCTTCGCCTTTCGGCTCAGCTCCCTCTTCACCACAACGGTCCGATACAGCGACCGCATCACTGCCGAAGCTGCACCGATCCGCCTGTCAATCTCCCGTTCCGTCCTTCCCTCACTCGTGAACAAGACCCCGAGATACTTGAACTCCTCCACTTGAGGCAAAGACTCCCCACCCACCCGGAGAGGGCAAGCCACCTTTTTCCGGTCGAGAACCATGGCCTCAGACTTAGAAGAGCTGATCTTCATCCCAGATCATCCTAGAAAATATTCAGTACAATTCTATTTCCATAGAGTTTTCCAGAATGTTACATAATATTGCATTAATCTGAGCTACCGATGGTCCAGGCATCAATAGTGGCACCCCATTTCCTTTGATACGTGGTGCCCTGTTCTTGTGCTTGTATCCTGAAGTAGTGTGCCGTCATTTCATTTCCTCTTCCTTGATGTGATATTTGGACCACTGCTGAGTCTCTGTTTAAGAATGAACCACAAAGTCCTGGCACAAGGATTCATGTGTAAATCTGGTTAAACTTTTCTAATCCAGGTTAAATCTGGTTTAAGTCTTTGTTTTCTCCTCATGAACTCACACACATTTCTGATTGATCCATGTTTGTTCCTGTTTAGGTTTTTTAAAGAACTGGTATTGAAAATTCAAATATTCTATGAGATATTATTGGTAGTGCAAATACCCAAGATACCCGGAGAGAGGTTACTTAAAAAGATGAACAAAATGTGTTTCAAAATGCCCAAAATGATTAGTTTTGGAAAATATTTAATTTTAAAGACAGAACAGGCTACGTTGCTTCTTTTACCACATCAATAAAGTCTGTCAAATGGGATTTTAGTGACTAGCACAGACAGCATTGATCAGTACAAGACTATGTCAGTATTAGATGAATAGTTGTATTTAGAGTAACGCTGATAAAAGCAATAATGCAGTAGAAATTCAGCACACATATCAGTTTTTCTTTAGAATAGACAGAATATCTTGGATAAGAGACAATTTTTTTTTCCACTCATCTTTGTCCAGATGTCTACTTTTGGAGAATTTTTTATTTTTTATTTTTTGATAAAGAAACATTAGAGTCTAACTGGGTATTCCTACTTTTTGTTCCAATTCAAAGCCAGGCTAATATACTATTTGGGATGGCATCAGGTCCAAAGACAACAAACAAACAAACAAACAAACAAAAAACATATATATGCAACTATGAGGAAGTGTATTTCCTATGGTGACTCCTAAGAGAAGTGAGTGAGCTATTATCATTTATACAGATCTAATTTTGTCAGTTGTGCTGTAAAACTTGGTTGCTTGTCTGAATATGTAAGACAGGGCGCAGAGCTGTTCCCAGGGTGCTGAGTGATGGGCTTGTTACTCAGTTGTCTCTGTTTCTCTGCCATTTTCTGTGAGAGACATTTGTTCAGCCTGAATGCTCCCGGACAAGAGCTCATGATACACAATGCGTTCACAATCAAATAAGCTCTGAATAACATGGTAAGTGGGAGTCCTTTCACCCACAATGTCTGTCATCCTCAGGTCGAGGTAGTGATTATAATGTAATCCAGGTCATGCTTACTGTGACATTCACTTTACTAAAGAGATTAAGGATAAACAAAATGATGGATGGAGAAAAAATAAATACATATATGTACTTGTATATATATTTTGATACTTTATTGTATCCAAGTTTCACAAAAAAGTTATTGGTTGACATTATAGTAGACAGAATATTTATGTTTTGTTTCTGTTATTTATTAAATTTTAATCCGCATTTTGCCTCACCCCTGTGAGAAAAAAGATACATGTATAAGTTCATCTTTTTTGAACTAATCAGTATCTGTGTTCTTATATTCCTTAATGCTTTTGCATTTTCTGCTCTGATATCATGTGGATCAGGTGTGCCCTACATATGAGTGATTATGTATGCTTAAGGCCAGGCTACTCAGAGACCACTCACACACATACATCACTGCATGGACATGTTCTGAAGGCGTCCATATTCTGTGTCATATGGCGCCCCCTGCTGGTTAGATTCAGAAAAAGACGTACCTACTCAAACCGCATTTCGCTCTTTCAGGTGAATAAAATGACAAGTCTTGTTTTTTTCGAAAGCATTTAAAGTGAAAACTATAAATGAAAGTGGAATCTGGCAGCTGTACAAATGAATATATGCTCTTAGCCTGGAGTTATTTTCAGTCACTCATGGAATCACCACAATCCCATCGTCTAGTCAGTCCTCACTCCAGGGGAAGGACAGACCGCCACGGCATTAACATTTTCTTCACTGATTAAACAGACATAGAATAATTTGGTCCTGAACACAGGCGGTGAGAGCAGGACGCTGTAGGCCACCTCAGGCTCATTATCACCACAGCCACTCACGTGGGAACGTCCTAATGCGTCATGAAGCAGAGACATCTCCAGGAAGGTAGACTTTAAACCAGAACCAATAAGTAGGCTATTGTTGAATATCTTTGTGTTTCATAAACTGCTTAGTTATGCCATTATTAGCCTCCAAAAATTTACACACAGAAGAGTTAGATTTTACCAATGCAAGCCACACATTTTCAAATTCCATGACATGTTAGCTAACTATTTGAATTCAAAACTTGGCAATACGAGCTTTTGAAAGTAGCCCTGTCACCTTTGCCACCAGATGGCGCCATTGGCGTGAAATTTAGCCGAAATAACGCCATCCCAAATAAGTTAACCTGGAGACCGTAGAGCCGGTGTCACCTGGTGTTTGCATGTGTCCCTTTGTATATGTTCCTAACTCTAATCCTAAAGATGTTTAAGGTTTAAATATGAAGTGAGCTGTGTGATCACGACACAGTAGTCTTCATTGCATATGGGTCTCGTTCACAAATGAACGTGCGTAAAGTAATCATAGATAAAACATTCAGTCATGTTTTTATTCCAGTGCTCACAATTCCAATAAGTAGTCTCAAACACTTCATACTGGAGGTGAGGAATGTCTTGGCAGTGTTGGCCCAGTGTCCCTCATGCGTGCCCACTGTGCGTCACGAGCGCCTGTCCCAGCTGACATAAGGACATAAATCAGACCCAATTCCCGTGGGGGCAGTTACATACGGGGAGGGAACGGACTGGGACACGCGTGGGTACGCACAGTCTTTTACCTCTTTATGATCGTTATAGACACAGAAGAGTCAGTAGCTGGATTATAACGGGGTGGTCGCATCTCTCCCTCTCCTGTGCGCGTGCCTCGAGCTTCAGTCTGCTGACACAACCTCCACGAGGACAGTCTGCGCTCGTGTCATTGGGACTCTATGTGGATACGAACCCGTGGACGCCAACATCCATGGATAAGTGAGATTTCCAGTGCGCGACCCTTTTCATGAAATTAGGTAAGTCATTTTGGCAAGATCCGTACGGTATGTTCCCATGGTATGAGTTCAGCGCCACAGTGGCTGGCAAATATGAACTAGTTTAATTGGCTCTTTACTTCTTTAACAAGCTGGAAATGCATCCAAATTCTTTGCAGATTTAGTTGGATTTAGACAACAGTTACAGTAAACCTAAGACGTATCAGCTGATAGCCTAGAAAGGTTGACTGTAGCTTATTTTGGTGAAGCCCAAATAACGGATCTCTAAAACCAGACTGAAATCGCGCGTGAAATAATCCACTCGTAAATGATTAGCCTATATGAACTTGGTTGAGCGTTAGGCTGTAGGAGAATTAAATAAAACTGATTTTGGTCAGATTTGTAGTTGCTCTGTTATGCTTATACTCTTGTGCGCCTATATTCCGAGGAAAAAAAAGGAAAAAAAGAAAGAAAGACCTCTCCTGTAATAACCAACTAATGCATGTGGTCGTCACCAGATGCGCAATGAATACAGTGAGTCTATAGAAACAATGTGTCTCTTGTGAGTTTGTGCGTGGTTTTCTGATAATGAAAGTAGATGGGGGGTTTTGGCGGAGCAGTCCCGGACACAAAGATCATTCTCTCGGAGTCCGTACTGAGGGCGCCTGGTCTGTGCTGAGGCAGCGAGTGCGCGTGACAGGACCATTATTCACCAACATGGATAATTGCATTAGTCTTACAGTAGATAGAGGAGATGGTCTGGAAAAAAGGCATAAAGAAATATAAAAATTCAATGGGAATTTGATTTGGTAGCGTCTGGTTTCTTTTCCCAGTTCTATTGTGTAAAAACGCCAATGCATTTAAAGTGTACTTAGCTTTTCAAACAAACTGAATCACTAACCAAAATTAAACTGCTCTCTGGTCTGGTCACGTGAGGTCACAGATGCACAAGGCTGATCTGATAAATGGACTAATGGAGAGGGACATCAAGATTTGAGATTTTGGATCTGGCTTAAAATCAAACCATAAGGAACATGACCAAAGCCAATAGGTCTTCAGGACAGAACAGGTGGATCAATACAGGAGACAGATGATTTGTAGAGGTGTGTGTCAAGTGGAGATTTAGTATAGCATTTATATATATACTTTTTAATTATTATTTGGATTTTATTTTCAGGTGCTTTATTGACTGGAAACTAATCCTGAAACTTTACAATAGGCAATCTGTAAAATAGCCCAGAATCAATGAAGAAACATCTGGGACTTATTGATTGAGGAAATGTGACCCTTCTGCCTGGAGATGCTCATGAATATTACATGCTCTCTCTGTTTCTGCATCTGTTAGAGAGGAGCGCAGAGCACTCAGAAATCATCACTCAAATAATAAATTGATTTACGGCATGATGCCAGGGAAGGATACTGTTTTTAAAAACTATAACTTGGATTACCACAATTACGTCTATAGGTCAAGGTGCTCAGTATGCCAAGCTTTGATAAAAACATACTTTTCTGTTATATCAATATTGATGAATTCATGTGCAAGTCATACCACCCTTAGATGTAGCATGTCTTTTGTATATTGTATTTATAAATGGACATAGCTGACCCGAATGCCACTGCATTCCAAATAGGAAGTGAGCATGGGGGCGCTTCTGGGTCCTTTGACTCTGACTCCAATTGACATAACATTGAAAAATGGTTACCTCTCTCCTTGTAACTTTTGCTGTGAGCCTCGTCATCTTGGTCTTAAAATGTTCATATTTACCCACTTTACATGATCTTGGTGTTTTTATTTCACTATTTTATCTGTAAATATTTTTTAATTCCTAAACTGGAACTGGCTCCAACTTCTCTCCTATTATAAAGCTATTTATGTCATTAGAGCATTGTTTCCCAAAGACTGGGTCATGACCTTCAGGCAGGTCACAAGAGATTTTTTTTTGGGGTCACCTTGTCATGATCTGCATGTAGGTCTGCAATATACAGTTCTGACTCTGATATGCGTGCTGTGCTCTCTTCCTACACTCTGGCCTGGATGAAATGTTAAGACATGTTTTGTATCATTTCTAATCTTTTTGTAATTATTTTATTGACTATTTTGTTCCAATATTGCTGATTCAGTTGAATGTTGAAAAGAAAAATAAATGGGCTACATTTAATGTCCAAATAGTCTTACTTATGGATATCTTTTATTGCTGGTTCAATGTTTTTCATTGTTTTAAACTTGAGTAATACTAATTTTTCAGAGAGACACGATCACTCAGCCAACAATAAAATATACTCATTAATGTTCAATAATGGTCAAATCTACCTTCATTTTGTTATTTACAAATAATGTCTATTGACTTGGGTTGTGAAGGTTTGTCACTTTAAAATATGGGTCCCAAGAAAAAAGACTGGGAAACACTGATTTAGAGAATATTATATATGCACAAAATACTGACTGTGAGTATTAAGTGGTGTCAGAAAGTCCATCTGGCGTAGAAAAAAATAAGCCAAGTCAATAGCCCATAGGTAAATCAGTGGTAGGCAGATGGTCTGTTGTAACTTGGGAATGAAAAAGTTAAAATGTGCAATCCATATTTTGTGCACTTATCAGCACAAAGTGTGAAATTTAAATTCTAAAAAAAAAAAAAAAAAAAAAAAAAAAGAAAGAAAGTGATTCTAATTTTGCTGACGATAACAGACCCATGTTCGTTGTTTCAGCCTGGGGAGAGGGATTGTGGTGCTGACTCCCCTCCAGTGTAATTCCTTAATGCACTAAGAGAGCTGTAGATCTAATAAGGAGAGGAAGAGCATCGTCAATAATGGATCCCACCTGCACCAGGCAAAGAGACAGAAACCAGACTCGGAACTGCCAATAATAATCTCTCATTCACAACGTGTTTTAGACTGTAGGGGCAGGTGCGGGAGTCCTAATCAAGTTTGTGCAGCCTGTCTGGCCATATCTTCAACTCATCTCAAGAAAGACCATGGCTGAAATACCCTGCACAATTTTTTTTCAGTCAATTTCAACGGCTGGTTTATTTATAATTAACAGTAGCAGAGAAAGTACATGCCGATAAAAGTATTTTCCAGGCTGACTCCTGCTCTAGTGTTAGACTTGTTTACCAACTCCGAGGTTGAAGATCGATTCCTACTACCATGGTTTACCACTGTTTTCTCCTTCGATATAGCGTTTAACCTATCCCATTACAATTAAATGTAATTTTTAAAAGTTGCACTAAACAGACTAAGTTATAGATCACATCTGTGGAGAGGCAACCCTGCTTTTGCTTCATTTGACTTGTCTCAATTTAAGTTACACTATATATTTATAGTTTATCTGAAATGCTAGTTGTAAAGAGAGTAAAGTATTTTAAATTTTTCTTTCAAATGAAACCTTTTGAGAATTTTGCAATAAGATTAAATTGTTAATCGCTATGGCAATGCTCCTAATAATTCATCATTCTGAAACCCATAGATACTAAGGGTGTGCAAAAATATTGAAATATTGATATATCATATCATTTAATGTGATGATACAGTATCGATATCATGAGCTGCTGTATCGATTTATCACCCAGAGTATTTTTTGGTATATTTTACTAAATTATTTTGTCACAGTGCTACAGTTTTGTTGCTTGTTTAGTGGAAGGAAACTCGTTTATGCAGCACATTTGACATTTTCACTGTTTTGATCATTAAAATGTTTGTGTTTCATATGAACTTTGCACAAGAAGTGGTTTAAGTGGTTTAAAGACTTTTAGTATCACAGCCATGATTTAGCCTTTATTTTTAATTGAACCTTATCAAATCAATTGGAAATATATTGTATTGAATCATATCGAATTGTAAGCTCACTGTATCAAGGTATGTATCGTATCGTGGTTTATGTATCAAGGTATGTATCGTATTGAGGCCTATGCATTGAGGTATGTATCGTATTGTGGCTTATGTATTGAGGAATGTATTGTATTGTGGTTTATGTATTGAGGTATGTATCTTATCGTGGCCTGTGTATCGAGATATGTATCGTATCTGCAACTTCTGAATGATACCCAGCCCTAATGGATACTATAATAAAACATCTGTTACATTTTCATTCTTTTAAGTACAGAACTCTCTTCACTTTTCCTCTTTTTTTTTTTTCATAAATTGGTGTACATCTGCTGATTCAGCCTCTTCACATGCTGTTGTCTTTCGTGTTACCCTCTTGTGAAGCAGCTAATAACTTGTAATGCTTATCCCTGCTTTATTTGTCCATGCAAATGAGTATGCCTTCATTTAGCCTGTTTTATTTACCGTAGGTGTTGTTTTCACCGAGGCATTCTTGTGATAATTTTAATTTCCTCTTCAGTATCGCACTAAATCCCCTGTAGCAATTAACCTGCATTTAGACTATTAACCTGAGCTAATCACGGTTTAATAACTTCAGATTGGGATTTGCGTTTGTAAGGGTGGATTTTACTCATATTTTCATAATTACACTTTTGTTTTTTGAATAAGAATATTTTGATTCATATTACCTTTTTTTTTAATCTCTTTATATTTTCTATTTACAGCTTAAGCGCTGTCACTGAGGACCTCTTTTAAGGGCCCATATGACTCTTTTTTTCTGATCTATGTTATATTGTTGTGTCCTCATCAAAAACATACAAGGAGTTGTTTCATTCACACATATTCTGGTAAGGCAGGATTACAAAACACAACTCCGGGTATGTTTTAGATGAGGTAATACATTATAACATAGCTTAAAACTTCTGTTCTGTGTAACATTGGATCTTTAATGTCTGGGTGGATTGACATGTTTTTGATGGGTAGGGCATCTGGCGCAAAACATACGATAGATCAGTGTATGAAGGACAGGAGACCAAAATGAGAAGCCATTAGGGAATAACTTAATTTCTAAAATTCAGTAAATGGAAAATTACTTGTTCAATTTGATTTATTTTTACACAGCCAAAATCACAACAGCAGCGCCTCACAGTGCTGCACAAAACTGTTGATTTAACCAACACAAAGTCAGAAAATCAAACAGTGAAAAGTCATCGATCAATAAC